GGGGGGGGGGCTACGGGGTAGTCTCCGCGTCTCCGCGCGGCCTGCATGGCTTCGTTGTCTCAGATCTTTCATACAAAACGTACAAATGACGGACTCCCTCTGATAAGAGATCCATGTAATCTTCTGGCAGCTTAGCAGAGACAATTATTGTGAGCGCAAGTCAAAACAAAGAAAAAAAAACAGGTATGAGGTATTGGTAAACATCTGGAATATTTCATGTTGGGTATTAGCAAGAGTAGCAAGAAGAATGCATTCTAAGATGTATAAAACGTTTTCGAGAAGGTTTGCACGGTCTCCCCGTCAGAACGAACAAAATGGTTTATTTTTTGCGTGTTCTTACTAAATATTCTTAATAGAAAATGATTAACTATTTTTGCACTGAGCATGTATACATATCACAGGAGAGGAATATTAGTCTATTTTTCATACATTTGGCTTTTTTTTTGTCTTGTCGTGGATATTTAGCAAGACACGTAGAATCGACAAATTTCCCTCACAAATTTGAGAATGTCTTCTTACAGACTTGCAATTTCATGGGTCTGATACACCCATGTCATTAACTGATTACTAGCAAAACAATTACTACTAGTAACCTGCATGGTTGGTGTTAACGGTGGCGTATTTATTCCTTTCTCTCCAGCCTACCTCTCATTCCTCTCCATCTTAAGAGAAAAATCGTATCAGATAAAATCGTAATCGAGTACATATCATTATGGTAATAATCTCTTAATGGTTAAAAATTAATCTATCGTCAACTCTATTTATTAAATTTTGTTCGATTTTGTTAGTAGTAGACCATATGAAAGTTTCTGTATTTTTTTCGGGTCAATAAAGAATCTTTAAAAGAATTTGAGAATAGCTAGACGAATTTCAAAGACACAAACTATGCTACAGATTTTGTGAATAGTTTTATCAGGTTGGTAGTTAAATAGCAAAGTTGTGTTTGTCATATTATCAGGGCTAACATAATTGGTTTACTGGAGCTAAATGTTACTGGTTCACTGTACACTAAAGCGAGGTGTTCTCCTGGCTGGACCATGTGGACAGTGGTGGTTCTGAGACAACCATTTTTGACTGTGGACACAGAGAATGGGATCACATGAATGTGCTGAAAAAAGGGTCATACGCATTGCCAAGAAGATTGCGACATTTGCTTAAATCTCACCACCATGGCCCCCTTATGCTTCTATCCAAAGAATTATGTTTACCGAAGCAAAACGTATATTGTTCTTGCTACGTTTCTTCTTCTTCTTCAAACCAAAATGGTCAATGACCAGAACCAGACTGTATGTTACATTGGTAACTGGTGTTGGGTTCATGTTGCAATTTTATAGCAGGTGAGATTTAGACTCCTGTCTGATCATATATTTGATTGTTTTTTGAGTAGGAATTAAAAGAGCAGACCATATGCGAGGGTAAATATTATGCATTTGCTTTGCAAATGTTACCTTTCTAGTTTTCTTTCATCTCTCGGCCCGCGGCCTGGCTTCGTTGTCTCAGATCTTTCATACAAAACGTACAAATGACGGAATCCCTCTGATAAGATATCCAATCTTCAGGCAGCTTAGCGGATAGACAATTATTGTGAGCGCAAGTCAAACGGAGAAAGAAACAGGTATGAGGTATTGGTAAACTTCTAGAATATCTCATGCAATAGTAGCAAGAAGAATGCATTCTAAGATGTATAAAACGTTTTCGAGAAGGTTTCCACGGTGTCCCCGTCAAATATTTGACTGTGAGAGCGCAAACTTAACCGAATGGCATATTTTTGCATGTTCTTACTAAATATTTTAGCAAAATATTTTTTAGAACATATTTAAGCGCAAGTATGTATACATTTCATAGGAGCGGAATGATAGTTTTTTTTTCATACTTTTTTGTCTTGGGGATAAACCTTGTTGAAGGTTTCCACGGTGTCCCCGTCAAATATTTGACTGTAAGAACGCAAACTGAACCGAATGACACATTTTTGCATGTTCTTAATAAATATTCAGCAAAAATTATTTTTTTCTGAAAATGTTTAAGCGCAAGTATGTATACATTTCATACGAGCGGAATAATAGTCTTTTTTCATACATTTGGTATTTTTTTGTCCTGTGGATAAACCTTGTTGAAGGTTTCCACGGTGTCCCCGTCAAATATTTGACTGTCAGGGCGCAACCTGAACGGAATAACATATTTTTGCATGTTCCTACTAAATATTCTAGCAAAAATTATCTTTAAAGAAAATGTTTTTACTGAGCATGTAACATCCGTGTCCATAATATCACCAGGGTCCATAATATCGCCACCTTGAGAAATAGTGTACTTTAAGATATTTTTACTGCAACATACTTTTGATATGCATTGCTGCACACCCCAGATGTACATACCTAGGGTATGTTGCAGTAAAAATATCTTTAAGCACACTTTTTCTCAAGGTAGCGATATTATGAACTATGGTGATATTATGGACACAGATGTTATACATGTCATAGGAACAGAATAATAGTCTATTTTTCATACATTTGTTGGTTTTTTTTTGTCTTGTCGTGGATATTTAGCAAGACACGTAGAATTGACAAATTTCCCTCACAAATTTGAGAATGTTTTCTTACAGAGTTGCGATTTCATGGATCTGATACAGCCATGTCATTAACTGATAACTAGCAAAACAATTACTACTAGTAACCTGCATAGTTGGTGTTAACGGTGGCGTATTTATTCCTTTCTCTCAAGTCTAATCTCATTCCTCTCAATCTTAAGAGAAAAATATCAGGGCTAATAAAACTGGTTTACTGTTTACTGGAGCTAAATGTTCTTGGTTCACTGTACACTAAAGCGAGGTGTTTCTTTTGGCTGGACCATGTGGACTGTGGTGGTTCTGAGACAACCATTTTTGACTGTGGACACAGAGAATGGGGGTCACATGAATGTGCTGAAAAACTAAATGTCATACGCATTGCGTCACGTGCCCAAGAAAAGTTAACTTGGTTGTGTATGCCTCCCTTTGTAGGTTTGCACCTTTGTCCTGTAAATTGGTCTGCCGCTTGCTGAAAAACAAAATACCATTCGCACTGCGTCATGGGCAGATCTTTTCATATGAGGGCAAATGCAAGATTACTTCTTCAGACCATGGAGTTAGAAAAGTTGTCCTTTTTTCTACCGCCATGTTCAGACTAATCGCGATATCAACTCTGACATTCATGCACCTCTGATAGGTAAAGACTGCCCAAACGTTGTTTGTCAGTACAGTACAAATGTACGAGCAAGCACAGCCGGTCCGGTCCCCTGTTGTGGGGCCCGGCAACAGTCAAACGAGCGGACCACAGGCCCAAGCACCTTCTGTCCACCAGAGTGGTCTGCACGGGCGTGCCCGCCATGGCAACGCCGCGTATCACAAGCGGCAGAAAGGGCTAGAAACGTCTTCAGATACGTACGAAGATGCCGAGACCGTAAATCTGTCGCCGCCGTTTCGTGAGGCGCGGCTGCAGCGGGCTGGGTTACGGGGAGAACCGCCCATGGAGGGGGCTGATGCCAATTTACCTGACGCAACGGACACTTCAAGAGGTAGCCAAAGTTATCTTGTATTATAGGTATTGTGTTGTTTGGCCTGTTTGTGTGTGTGTGTGTGTGTGTGTGTGTGTGTGTGTGTGTGTGTGTGTGTGTGTGTGTGTGTGTGTGTGTGTGTGTGTGTGTGCATGTGTGCAGCAGTTTTTGGTTTGTCCTGGACATGCTATGGCCTTGATATCTTTCGGATAGATTAAGAAAAGAAAGACTGATTTTCATGATTTTTGGCACGCAGGTAGTTTAGACAGAGATGCACACAGTAAAATGCAAGTTATCTAGATAAGGCCTAAATTTGTATAATTAATACCTGAATTGACAAATTCGATCCATTGTTGTATATAGGACTTGGATATGTCAAGTGTACATCTAATGTATGTAATTTATGTCAAGTGAAACTTGAATAGATAGAGGACCTAATTTGCATAATCACTGTGAAAATACTACGATTCATTAGTGGTAAATAATGGGCATTTCTTGTGATATGTGTAAGTTATATTCATATATTATGTACATTTACATAATTTACTATAAAATGTTAAAATAAAACCTTGCCAAAGAGTAGGCTCTCAATGAAATACATGTAATAGGTTTAATGATCAATGAGACAAATTAAAGTAAAAATAGAAAGCTCTAAACATCTTCGTGCAATGTAGGTACGGGGTCTCCTAACTCCTGTTGTTTTCTTTAGAAGACTTAAAGATTTGCAACCTGAATATATCTTTTTCTTCTACACTTTCATTTTTACCGTCTGTGTTTTATCTTATTCTCCATGCAGTAGTTTAGCTTATATTTCATGAGTTTTAGTCGTTTTCACATCAGGCTTTTTTTTTGTAACGTATTTGTAAATGAGATTAACTCAGTCTTGGGATAATCAAAACTGTAGTTACCTCATCAAGATATGTTTTTCTGTGATGATCATGGGCATTAATTTCTACAAGGTTCAATTCAGTATACAGTGTACTTCAATTGGTGTTATCAGTTTGTAGAACATTCATCAATCAGCGACTGTTTAAGAAGGTAGCAAACCTGTACCTCAACATTTTTGACGTCCACTGTACGCCTTGATCACGTAGTGGCCTACAAGTGTTCACTCTAGGGATATTATGTAACATTTCTGCACCAGTTGCAAAATCTGAAGTATTTCAATTTTTAAGAAAAGGTCGCATGATTGTAATTTATTTTCATATTTGCACAATTATTTCCCATTTCTGGCAAAACAGCTCTTAGACGCATTGAGTTTATGGTGCCATTGCAACCTAATAGAATGTAAAACATGGCTGACAGCTGTGTTTCCAGCTTTTAAAAACACACGAAAGTTGTCATATTTTGGAAGT